CTCATGGCACACCTTTGGGTTCTGCTTTGGACCAGGGGTGTCACAGCAGGCCAGTCACAGCATCACCCTCACACACCCGCTCCGGGGGATGCCGAGACAGGAGCATCCCCTGGAAAGGCTCCAGGGCACCACCTCATCAAATCTGGGGGTTGACCCCTTCTGACACTTCTTTCCCAGCCCCAGCACCCAGCAGGGATCCTTCAACCCCTCCCCACCTCTCAGCCCCCCAGGAGACACAGCTCCTCCAGCTGCCCAGCGGGGGCAGGTCCAGGGGACAGAGGGACACCTGCCCAAAGCTGCTGCTGACTCCAGCAAAGCTCTCCCCATCCCCACAGTGGAACAGAACAGAAGCAGGCCTGAGGAGAAGAGCAATTTCCTTATTTCTTGGCACGGATCCACACAGCGAGCGAGGAGGGAAGCGAGCACAGCCCTGAGCTGGGGGGAGCTGAGAGCTGCCCACCCACAGCAGCTGATGCAAAGACCCCTCTGCTCCCCACAACACTCCCAAAAAACCACACTGGGCTCATCCCTCCTTGCCTTGCTCTTTTCCCTGGGTGTGCTGAGGCTCTTTGAGGAGCTCAGGCGTTTCCTGCCGCCCCGAGCCGTGTGGGGGAAGCAGCCGTGCTGAGATCCCAGCGGTCCCTGAAAGCTTGGGGCAAGCCTGGGTGCAGCACCCAAACAGCAGCAGGAGGTGTTATGGGGTCGGGGTTTGCAGTGCAGGGAGCTGCTGCTGGGGCTTGTGGGGGTGATCTTTGCCTCTCATCCCAAACTGAATAGGAAATGGTGCAAACAGGTGCAGAAACAGGGTCAAAACCACGCTGCTCACTCTGATAAAGTCTCAAGCATCACATTTTGGGACAGGATTTCATAAAGATGTTTGATTTCCCCAGGGACCCTCTGCTAACCTGCCCCGAGCCCAATGCTTTGTTCTCTCCATCAGTTTATCCCAAGCCACGCTTGCAGGAGCACCTGGAAGGAGCTCAAGACTCGGTCCCTCAAGGCTTTCCCACCACACCCAGGGCCAGGTGTCACCAGAGTGAAGCCACAAGGCACACGGAGCTTGTGCTCTGCCAATTGCCACAGCTGATGAACAGAGCCGCTGTCCCAGGAACTTGCCCCAGGGCTACCCGGGGTCACCAGGACTGCTTTAGGATCAGCTGCCCATAAAAGAGCCCTGGTGGCCCCCGGGGCTCCTCCCGGACCGTGGCTCTGCTCGAACAGGCACAGGCTGGGAGCTGGTGGCAGCTGGGGTGGGGTAAAACAGGGAGGCAGCAAAGCCCAGGAATGTCCTGCTGTTGGGGACAGGGTGCCCCTCCTGTGGGGTCGTGTCCCCGTGCAAATGTGGGCTGGTCCTCGGTTTCCCCCAGCCAGGCAACTCCAGGGGATGCTCCCGTGAGCATTCCCAGCTTGATCCCAGCCTGCATGCTCAGGCCATGGGAGAGTCGTGGCCCTGCACTGACTGCAAGAAACAGAGGGAAAATCAGCTGCACGATGCTCTGTGGAGCCAGAAATTGCTGTTAATGTGCTGATAAAGGAGGTGGAGATTTTTAAGAGACACAGAGATGTGGCACATGGGGACGTGGGTCAGTGGCTGAGTGCTGGGGGCAGGTTGGGCTCGTAGAGCTCTTTTCCAACCAAGTGATCCCGTGGTTCCATCCTAACCAGTCTCACTGGCTGGACTCATCCTGCCTCCCTATCCCTCCATCCGAGCACTGGACAGGGCCAGGACAACCCCGTGCCAAGGTGTCTGCACCCAGCAGGACACATTTTTGGGAACTGCTGAGCTGGACCCCAGTGCTGAGGGGAGATAAAGGGTCTGGAGCCATCCCTGGCAGCCAGGGAGCAAAGCAATACCACTGGAAACAGCCAGAGGAACCAGAAACACATTCCAGATAGGAGCCCACAGCAATCCAGCTTAATCTGCTGCAGGCTCAGGTCCAGAGGCAGGAGCAGCTCTTCTCTCTGAGCTGCCCCAACAAGACCAAGAGCTGGAGTCGGGGTTAAGCCACAATGGATGTTGAGATCTGCAGCTCATTCCCAAACCAGCTCCCTCTCCTGATTTCCACAGCTTGTACAGACACCAGTACCTGTCCCAGGATCTGACAGATGGCCATCACTGAGTCGGGCTCAGAACCAAGCTCATCACAATTTGCAGAGCTGCCAACATCCCAGTACCAGAACAAACAGCCTCAGCAGGAGATAAATCAAGACCAAGGGAAGAGGCACCGCTGCGGCTCCCAGCGGCTTTCAGCAGGAGGCTGCTTGGCCCCCTGGTCACCTCTGGTCACGTCTGGTCACCTCTGGTCACCTCTGGTCACCTCTGGTCACCTCTGGTCATCTCTGGTCACCCCTGACCCCTGAACGTTTCACTAGGCCAGCCCTGACCTCCCAGGACAGCCTCCCACCCGTCTGTCCCACAGCCCAAGCAGAACACGGGTGCTGAGGTTCCCTATTCCCAAAAGGTCTCAGGCACAACTGGAGCCCCTCTGGACACCAGCCCCAGCTTTCTCCAGGCACAACATCATTCCAGCAACATGGGGATGAGTGACCCGTGCACACCTTCTGTTTTAAAGTGTAAAAGGCTCTCTGAAATTTGCAGGGAGTACACCAGAACACCCCAAGAGCCATCACCACAGTGCCCTTTCAAAGAGCTGCTGCTGCCACCACACGAGGACAGAAATCTCCTGGTCTCCTGTGATGCAGTGATGGGATTTGGGAGTGAGTGAAAGCAGCTCTGGATCCTCAGCTCTTAGAGCTGCTCCACTTCTCCTGGCTTCAGTGGGACCAGATTAAAATGCTTCAGCTGAAGCCTGACTTCAGCATTTTCTAAGGGGGAAAATCAGCACTGTCTTTCATCCCTCTCCTCCATCCCTTCCAGTTCAGCATTCCAGTCTGAAATGGGACTAAACCTCTCTCCCTTCTCCACACAAACAGGCAGTAAGAGACCAACTTCACAGGAAAAGGCATTCACAGGGAAAAAACATCAGGCTTTTCAAGCAGATATTTGATGGTACCCCGAGGATGAGCGAAGCTTTTCCTCTCTGTCCTCTTCCTGAGGCTGAGCAGCAATGCCAAAGGGAATCCTTGATTTCCCAGGAGGAAACAACCAATTCGCTTGTACTACTGATCAATGTGATTGTCCCAAACACCTCCTTGCTTCCCACCCCAGCAGTTCCAAAAGGAACAAACCCTGGAGGCTCTCCAAAGCACGAACAGCTCTTGGGGAGCGGCTCAGAGACCAGCACATCATCCCTTCTCCTGCTGGTCCCAGCTCCCAGGCACCATTCCCTGACAGCGACGGGCACCACTTGGTACCAGGGAGGTAGAAGTAGGTCAGCCCTGCAGCTGCAGCATCCCATGCCACCCTGGACACACAAAACACTGCACAACTGGAAAACTGAGCTGTGCCCTAAGAGTTATCCCAGCAACTGAGGGTGCAGCTTGATTTTGGGGCACTGTTTTTATCCTCTCTGGGGCTGGAGTGGTGGGAGATGGGTAGAGGAGCAAAGAAGCCTGAGACCAGGTTGGAGAAGATTTTGTTTTGTCATGGGAAGAAGAGTTGTATGTTTTCCTGACTCATCTCCCCCTCAGTTTCCCATGGAAAACCTCAACACTTAGCACAGCTCCTGTTCCAAACCCAGAGGAGCCTTTCTGGCAGCCCGGAGCTGCTGGCAAGGCAGCACTTGACACATCTCCCCACGCTCGAACCCACTGAAAGCCACCGGAGGGGAGAGGAAGGGAAAAGCCTCTGGATTCTTTTTTCCCTACTGAAAACCTTTTGGTCACCTTCAGTCACAACCTCAGCACGTCCCCAGGAGAGATGTCCCACTCACAGCATCCAGAGACGAGTGGACCCAGGGAGAGGAGCTGGGTTGGAGCACTCTGTCCCCAGGGAGGGCAGTGCAGCCAGCACGGGGTCACAGACCCCAGGTGGGGACAACAGGGGAAGAGAAAACAAAACGTGGAGCCAGCACGGAGAGATGTGTTGGACGGAGGTGAAGCAGATGGAGAGGCAGGAAGACGCGGATTTGGGGAGCAGAAAACAGCCAGGCAGGCGGATGGAGATGAACCAGTCTTGGATCGGCTCAACAGAACTCAGCCTCCACCTCTCCCTCCCCACCCGGGTCCTGCTCACACCTCCAGCCGTACCTTTCTGGATGCCTCCGTCCGCCGCACAGGAGAAGTCCCCCGTGGCCAGCAGGAAGCACGTGGAGGATTTCTTGTTCTTGTCCCGGGTGCTGGAGCGCCGCATTGGCCGCTTCTCCTCGTCCGTCGGGGACAGCGGCTGCTCCTCGTCCGACAGCACCACGTTGGCCTCACCGTTCTGCTTGGAGTCTGCAAGGAGGTGGCAGAGACCCATCAGCAGCTGACAAACCCACGGGAGAAAGCGCTCAGGGCAGCCAGAAGGGGCTGGTCAGGCCGGGCAAGGAAGCAGAAGAGCAGGTTGCAGGTGGCCCAGAGCAACATTCACCAATTCGGGTGCTGGACCTGGACACGCTCATTTAGAGCAGCCAGGGGAGAAGGACAAAGACAGACGTAATTCCAAGCAGCTCTAGTCCTGCTGAGGGTTATAAAACCTGCATGAAGCCAAAGCTGGGGATGAAACACCCCAGGTTTTTGAGATCCACCCACCTAATTGGAGGGAATTAGCTCTCCAAAATTCACACTGCTGAGGAACGGGCTGCTCAGGGTAGTGGGAAGTGCTAATTTATGTCCCCTGGCTCCCTGGTTCATTGGCTGGGAGGATGCTCTGCCACGTGAGGGCCTGGCCTGGGCTCCTGGCTCTAACTGTTCCCTGCTGCCAGGGCTCCTGGGGCAGATCCTCAGGCATGTGGGAAAAGGAGATTTATAAAGGAAAAGAACAGTTTGGGGCAGCTGGAGCTCCCTGTTTCCCCACCAGGGGAAGGCCCATCACTGTTGAACACGTGTGGCCAGATGTGCATCTGCCCAGGGCTGACCCCAGTGTTGGTGCAGGACACAGCCCCACCATGGGAACTCCTGTTCCAGACACCCCAGAGGTGCCACTGGCAGCAAACCAAGACAAAAAGGGCCAGAGCAGCCAGCATGGCCAGCACTGGCAGCAGGGCAGGGCTCGCACAGACCCCCAGAGTTAGCCCAAGGGATGGTCCCCACAGCTACCCACAGCTGGGCTGTGCCTTCTCCTCATCCAAAGGGAAGACTGGCCAACCCTCAAACTTCAGCTCAGTGTGTGAGACAAAAAAAAGAAACATCCAGGGGCTGGTTTTGCTCAGGATATGGTGCAGCAGGGCAGGGATTCAGTCTAGCAGCAGATGAATGAGGAGGTGGGGTCGAGCCCCAGGGAATGTCCATGGATTGATCAATGGACAATCAAAGTTACCCTGATTTATGGTGGGAGGAAGCAAAGGAAAAATCTGTCCCAAAGGCATGACCAGGCTAACATGGGAGTAGGGCAAGCGGCCTTAGCTCTGTCACTGTGAGGGAGAGGCAGGCTAGGTGGGGACACCTTGAAACCCACCGTGGTGACTTGATGTGTGCCATCAGGAGGAGAGGATGTAGCCCTTGGGGAAGCAGGATACGGCCCTTGGGGAAGCAGGATATGGCCTTTGGGGAAGCAGGGTGTGACCTTTGGGGAAGCAGGATATGGCCCTTGGGGAAGCAGGGTGTGACCTTTGGGGAAGCAGGATATGGCCTTTCCCCCCTGCCTGGATGGGGAATTTGACCTGCAGCGCCCTGGTCCACCAGCATAGCCCCCAACCCTCACACCCAAAGGGCCCAGCCCTTTCTGCCCCAGCCCAGAGCTGGGGCCACGTCCTGCCTGCACAGGGGAGCAAAGGCAGCTCCTGGAGGTCTCCCCCTCCCTCGGCCCCACCTTTGGGGTCTCACCTGACCGTTTCCGCTCAGTCGCCCCCTCCTCTACTGCCAATGGGCAAGTGTCGCTCTGGGTGCTGTTCCGGGGGGAGTTTTCCTCGGATTTGCCGTAGGTGGGGGAGTCCAGCGGGGCCGGACGGGGTATATGCTTTTTCTTCTTCTTTGGCAGCTTCTGCTTGGCCATGGCCAATGAATAGTACATCCCAAAGTTATTGACGATGACGGGCACGGGCATGGCAATGGTCAGCACCCCAGCCAGGGCGCACAGGGCCCCCACCACCATCCCCGACCAGGTCTTGGGGTACATGTCACCATAGCCCAGGGTCGTCATCGTGACCACGGCCCACCAGAACCCGATGGGGATGTTCTTAAAGTGAGTGTGGTCGCTCCCGGTGGGGTCGGACGTCTTGGCTCCAATCCGCTCGGCGTAGTAGATCATGGTGGCGAAAATCAACACCCCCAAGGCGAGGAAGATGATGAGGAGCAGGAATTCGTTGGTGCTGGCTCGGAGCGTGTGGCCCAGCACCCGGAGACCCACAAAGTGCCGCGTCAACTTGAAGATCCGGAGGATGCGGACGAAGCGCACCACCCGTAGGAAGCCCAGCACGTCCCGGGCAGCTTTGGAGGACAGGCCACTGAGACCCACCTCCAGGTAGAAGGGCAAGATGGCCACGAAGTCAATGATGTTGAGCAGGTTTTTAATGAAGAGAAGCTTATCTGGGCAGCAGATGATGCGAACCAGGAACTCGAGGGTAAACCACAGCACGCACACCCCTTCGATGTAGGTGAGGATGGGCTCCGTCTCCACTTTGTGCGTCAGCAGCACCGTCGTGGTGTTGCCAACCACCAGGGTCTCCGTCACGTTGACGTCGATGTTGAAGGCCTCGTGCGTCTCCAGGCAGAAGGTTGTGATGGAGACCAGGATGAAGAAAAGCGAGGCGAAAGCAACCACCTGTGAAAGTCAAAATTACACGGGCTGTGAGCTGATGTGGGACAACCTCTTCTGTTTGGAGGTCAAAACTCTCCAGGTGCTGCCACCCACTGCCCCAGGACCAAGGGTGGAGAATGAGGACGGATCTCTGGACCTCTCCCATGAGCTGGCAGCAAACCTCAGTGCTTGGGGCCATCAGTCCAGGACCTTTCTCCAAGTGCTACGATCTGTACAGGAGAAGGAGTGCTGGAGGTGTGCCAGGAATGGCAGTGGTGGGGATGAGGGAGAACTGGGACAGGCTGGGACTGGAACAATCCTCCAGTGGGAGCAGACATGGAAAGGGAATTTTGACAGGACAAATTCAAAGAGCTTTCCCCCACACCCATCACTAACCCCTCCAGAAGCCAGGTTCATACTTCACAAATGTGAGCTTTGGGGTCTGGATGTGTCAGAGATGTCCTTTGCCCTCTCCCTGGGGGTCCATGGTGGGTGACGGGCCCACAGAAGGTCCAGGACTGGGAGGGCAGCACAAGGAGAGGAGCAGGCAGAGCTCAGCCTCCTGCTGATGCCTGGACCTGGTGACACCCAGATGTTCCCATTTCTCCATTGCTCTGCCCAAGCAGGGAGATCATTGCCCCCTCCATGTCTCCTCCTCTCGGATGTGAGCGAGGAGGGGCTGGCAGCACGCATTGGAAGTCACAGGCTGTGTCACAAAGTACCACCTTGTTGTGCTCCCATCAGTCCTGGCATGGGATCACATCAGGATCCCAATCCATCATGATTCTGCTCCCTCCCTCATGGCAATCCCATGACCTGGAGCATCTGTTTCCAAGAGCCACGCCCCCATCCCCCCCACCAAAAAAAAAGCTTCAGAGCAGAAGAACTCTTGTTCTACCTTCCTCCAGCACAGAAGCACGGTGGTTTTGGCTCCCAGGGAGCAGGTCCTGCTGCAGCCCCTTTGCTGCACCTGCAGCAAGCAGGACGTGACCTCTTGCTGTCAAACCCACCCAAGCGGCTGTGCTGGCAGAGCCGCACTGTGAGGCTGCTCCAGGCGACAGCCCGGATCCTCGGCTGGAGTGAATCAGCAGCAGAGACAGCCTGAGTCACGCTAGAGAAACACCCGGCCCCGGACAGCGGCAGGGCCGGCAGCCCCGAGCCTGCCAGAGCATCCCTGAGGGGTGTCCCCAAGGGCAGACCCGCGTGGGTCTGCCACAGAGAGCAGCAGCCCCGCTAGAGTTTGGTGTGAAGTTTAAATCAGGCATTAAATGATGGAGAAACCTCTGGAAGATGATCCTCCTGCCCCAGTGGGAGACACCTGCTTGGGGATGGAGCGAGATGCTCCTCACCCCTCAGTCAGATCCCTTTGGACCCTGCATGGGGATTCAGCTCTGAAGGCTGATCAGCCGTGTGCGGTTTGGGAAACAAATCCAACAAAACTGGGATCTTAAAGCAAGGCCAGCTTAACCAGACAAGTGTCTCTACACAGCGGTGGCACAGCCAAAATAATCCGCTTTGCAGCTGAGGGCTGAGTCACGTTCCTGAGCTTCCCCATATGGGGAATCTTGGGAAAACCTGAGGAGTAAAAATTTAGACTTAAAGCAAAGTAGAAAGAAAAAAATCACCCAGGAAGGTAGTGAGACCATGCAAACATTTGAGTAATAAAGCAACCCTGCTGCTGGGTGTGAGGTGAGACCTGATTTAGCCCAAGGAGCAAAATCAGCCTTTAAAAATAGCAGAGTTGGATTCACAGCCGGTGCCAACCATAGTGTCCCCCCCAGAGTGCTGCTCCAGTTCTGTGTCTGACCCAAGATGTCTCACCTCAGCTTCAGTCTCTGCTCCAAGTTCTTTTCCAAAAATGTCTTTAAAACAAATTCTATGTATAAACCCAGTACTACCAGTACACAGCAGAACTCCCTCCAGAACATGCTGATGTTCTACACAATCTTGACCTGCACTCAACAGCTTGAGATAGGTGTTCCCAAAAAATCCATGAGCCTACAGAGCCTGGAAGTCCCCATGAAAGTGAGGTCAGGACTCCCCAAGTTGGGCTGCAAAGGGAAAAAATAATGAGGAGCTGCATGTAAGAAGAGTTTGGACGTAGAGGCAAAATCCCAGCCAGGGCAGGTTCCCATGGGGAAGAAGAATGTTGAGCTCCAGATGGGACAGCAGTTGCACCAGGGACCAAATATTCCCTGGGTGGATTAGACTGAGGAGCCAGGGACGCATGGCCATGGATGGTGCATGGAAAAGAGGCTGAAACATGGCAGAGATCTCTAACCACGTACTCACAGTCGCCAGCTCAGGAGGAGAAATGCTGGAGGGAGGGAGGGAAAGACAGAAATAACAAGGAGCCAACTGAGTCAGGGCCCGAGGGGCTGCTCCATGGAGAGGAGCGAGGACCGGAGAAATTCAGCCCTTGAGACTCTTAGTCACAGCTGCCACACAGAGAGGGAGAGGGTTTACATGGACAGCCCGGGACTGCTGCTTCCCAAGGTTTGGCAACGTGCTGTTCAGCACTCCAGCACATTCCCTGCAGCCAGCAGCACCCCTTTGGCTCTGGAGAGAAAGGAGGACACCCCAAAATGAGGCATTAAAGAAATCCCAACCACCGCAAACCTCATCCACCACAAAAGCCAGGGCAGTGCCAGGAATGTTGTACCCACAGGGATGCTCAGGAATCCTGCAGTACTGGATGGTGACTCCAGCCAGGAACTGGGTGCACTCGCTTGGGCTGGTTGCCTTGCTCTGTGCCTCAGTTTCCCCTCTTGCCAGAGCAGTTCTCCTAAGCTATGGCAAAACGATACTGGTATTTATTCCTGTTGCCTCTGGAAGTTGATGGTTCCCATGGCACTGCTGAGCTGAACATTCATCTCGAGCAGTGAGAAGGAAGCAGGGAGATCCCAGTACCAACTGGTCCCACTCCAGCCCCAGTCGGGCCTCAATCACAACCATCACTGCTCCCTCCAATACATTCCTCCTGCTAAAGCCTTTCCAGGAGCAGCTCAGCACACAGGAAAAGCAGAACCAAATGACACCAGGGGGAAAAAGACTAGTTGAATTATTCTGCTTGGGTTTATTTTTAATTTTGTTTAATTTTTTATTTGGAGCTTTACACCACTCAGAGCATCTCTCCAAGGTGAAGAGTCCTCAGAGATGGGCAAAGGAGGGGGTACCCTTTTAAAACGGGTTCAGATCTTGCTGCCCGAGCACTCTCTGCCTGTGTGTGTTGCTCTAACATTTGCTGCAAAAACACCTCCTTGCCAAACTGACCCCTGCCCCGCGCACTGCTCGTGGGTGTGAAATGCCTGCAGAATTTCTTACCATTGATGGGGTTTTTTTACACCTCTAAATGCATCCAGAATTCATCTCCATCCCAACTGCCTGCCTGTGTGTGTGTGCAGATTTATAAGCTGGGCGTGCCAGGGGCTGGGTGGGTACGGGTGGGTGTCGGGGGGTCGGTGGGCAGCGATTTGGGGATGATCCACGAGGAGCTGGGAGAGGAGACGGAGCGCAGGGAGCGCCGGCTGGGAGCCCGCAGACTCGCCTGGTTTGGGGGGACACATCCCGGGTGTGTTGGTGCCCGTGGGCAGGGAGCGGCTGCGTGCCCAGGGAGGGTGGAAAGGTGTCTGGTGTGTGTGCTCAGGTGTGCACACACTCGGTACCGGGACCACGCGTGGTGAGGGGACTGCGGGGCAGTGCTGGGTGTCATGGGCTCGGTGTGCTGTGGTGGGGACAGCGAGCAGGGGGGGCACAGCCACGGGGTGTCCCCTGGGGCTGCAGTTCCTGCACAGGAGGAGCGTGTGCTTGGGGACAACCACCAGAATCCCGTTTGCTGCAGGAGCTGACCCCCAGCCCTGAGCTCCACGCCACACCTGGGCTGTTAAATGTGGGATTTGGCATCGTGCAGCCCAGCAAGAGGAACCCAAACATCCTATCCTAGAGCATCCCGAAACTCTGCCAGGAGTCAGCCCTGCCAAGGACAATCCCTCATCTCCGTGTGCCCAGGAGGTGCCCAGGGAACACTCGAGGGCACAAAGGGAACAGGGATTGTACTTGGCCCCGGTTTCAGCCCAGCTCTCCCTGATGTGAAGTGTTGGGAGGGCACTGGGAGACAAGGGAAGAGGTGTCCTGTAGGATGGGAGATGGCTCCCGTGCCCCACAGTAGGAGGGGACAGTTATGGGGTGGCCTCATGTAACCCACCAGGAAAGTCAGTCTTGCCCTCGAGGAGGGGCAGGTGAAGACACAACCCCAGCACGGCCCCAAGCCACGTCCCGGCGCGTTTCGGGAGCTTACCCTTGCGGCCTTGGACGAGTAGGGATCCTCAAAGAGCGCCCACATCTTGGGCTGCCAGTTCCGGCAGCAGCCACCCCCTCCGGCAGCCCCTGCCGCCCCTGGGGGCCTGTCATCCATGCCCAGGCGCTGAAGGGCCATCTCCCTACCCCCTTCCTCTTCGGGCTCCTCTCCGCCAGCCCCTCCACCAGGCTCAGGACTCTCAAAGATGTCCAGGGCCTCTTCGGCGTCGCGGTGCTGGCGGTAGGTCATCCAGCAGCAGGGCTCCACGTCGGTCTCGTCGATGCCCCAGTAGGTCAGCTCCTCCTCGAAGAGGGGCCCGCAGATGTCCGCGGGGCAGTGCAGCTTCCCCGTGCGGTAGTAGTTGAGCACGTAGGAGAAGATCCCGGGGTGACGGTCAAAGAAGAACTCATTGCTTTTACCGTCAAAGTCAAAGTTGCTCTGGGCGTCGGGGTCAGCCAGCCAGGCCAGGCGGGTGCCCGGCAAAGTCCGAAGGGTGCTCTTGTAGGTCTCATGCCGGGTGCCCCCTACATTGATGGTGATCTTGTCCGACTCTTCCCCTTTGCCCATCTCTTCCTTCAGGCATGTTTTGGAGGGTGGTTTATTCCCAGACTTGCGTCCACGGTAGGAGGAGACACACACCGAGCTGATCATAGATTTCGGTGGATGGGAGATGCCCACAGCGTGCACCCTTCCTCCGGGCGAGGATCTGGGGTTCAGCGAAGGCGGGAGGGGAGGACAGAGCTGGGACTGGGGAGGGGAAAAGGGGGGGCTCAGGCTCGGCTCTGGCCTCGGGGGGAGCAAGCTGGAGCCGCGCCGGACACCGCGGGCTGCTGGGGGACAGCAGGGGAGGCTGCAACCTCCACCCCCTCCAAAGCCACCCCCCCAAATAAAACCGCCCTAAACCGGGAGTCAGCCCAGCCCTGCCGGGCAGCAACAAGTGCGGGATGGAGGGGGCCAGGGGCGAGCAGGGGGTGCGGCAGCCGGGGGGGGATGCGGGCCCGGCCGGGAGGACGCTGGGGAAGGGATGGGGGGATGCTGAGCCCGGCCGGGCGGTGCGTCCCCCCCCTCCCGGTACCTGCAGCGCCAGGCGCGGGGGGGCCCCGCCGCCCGCCCCTCCCGCTCCGGCGGCTCCGCGCTCCCTCCGCCCCCCCCGGGCCGGGCTCGGGGAGGAGGCGGCGGCCGGGGGGCTCTTCCCCGCTTCCAGCGGAGAGAAGGGGGGATGGATGAGCCCTCTCCGCCTCCCCTCCCGCTCCCCCTCCCCGGGGGTCCCCGTTCATGCGTGGCCAGGCCGGGGGGGCCTGTTGCGCCCCGGCGGTGCCTCCCTACGGCGGCGGGAGCGGCTGCGGGGCTCGCCGGGGCTTTTATAGGGCTGGGAGCGAGCGGTGGGGTTACGGGAACCGGCGCCGCCCCGCCGGGGGGCCGGGGACCCCCAGCGCCCAGCCCCGCAGCCCGCCCGGTGCCCCCCCGGCGCTGCCCTCCCTCTCATCCCCGCATCCATCCCTCCCTCCATCCTCCATCCATCCCTTCATCCCCTCCACCCCCAGCCCAACCCTCCTCCTACCCCCGGGTCCCCCGCACCCCCCGGCACCGGCTCACCTCCCCGCGGGGCCCGACGTGCCGGTGAGGGTCTCGGGGGGTCGGTGTCAGCGAGGAGTGAACCCCGGACACCCCAGCTCCTCTTCGCGCCGGAGGGGAAATGCAGCCCAGAGCTGCCTGCGGATCTGGAGCCAGCTCTTGGCAGAGGCTCCCGCAGATCCCATCCCTCCCTGGCTCGCAATCCCTCGCTCACCGAGAGGTCAGGAGAGACCGACCCCGGGGCCGGTGGGGAGCTGGGAGGCTGCACTCAGACCTGAGCCCCCTTCCCTCCCACCACCCTCCCCGAGCATCTCTCCTCCCTGTTTCTGCTCCTGCGTGTGAGATGCCCCTTTCCCGCAGCGGCTGCCGGGGCTCGGGGTACCAACCACCCCAGCCCCGGGGCCCTTCCCCTAAGCCCCCTCCCCGGGGGGCTCCGACCCCCCCGGGATGCTGGTGATGCTCAGCCCCAGCTCCTGGGGCTGGCGAGGAGGTGAAGAGCTGCGGTGCCCCGGGGCCGGGGCTGTCACCCAGGTGAAGACCCGAGGGACTCATCCTGCCAGCGCTGTTTACTTCTGCACCGGCACTGCTGGTGCTGCTGCACCGAGGGGTGGGGGATGTTTTGGGGTCAATGGAGGGGTCCAGGCCCAGCACAGGCCTGTTGTTGGGGTGAGGCTCTCATCCAGGAGGGTCAGCACTTGGATAAGGGAGTTCTTGGTGCAGGGCGAGGGGACGTGGAGTGGGGGATGCTGCCTCAGCACCCCTCTCTGCACCTCCCTGGGCTGTGCTGTGCATTGTCACCCCGCCAGGGCCCCTCCTCACCCCTGCCCAGGTTTGTCCCCTCGGTGATGTGTCCCCAAAATCCGGGGGGCATGGAGGGGGCAGCTGGGGAAAGCGCTCCACCCAAAAAAATCCACGAGGCACGAGAGCCACGCTCGAATCTTACCACCAAGAAAGCCCTGCTCCAAGTGTGACTGCAACTCCACAGCTTCCAGGGCCGGATCCTGAGCGGGTGGAGGCTGGCGGAGCTCCACACCCAGAGCACCCGGAGCTGCACCAGCGGGAGAGCCTGGAGCCCGAGGGAAAACCGTGCTGGAAAAATCGAGCCTTGCATCACCGGCCAGGCATCGCAGCTCAGCTCCTCATCGTCGTAATGCGAGTTTGGCCAGGAGGAAGGAATGCTGCGACCTGATGCTAATATTTTATCTGTCCACTTTCATCCCGCCAGGAAGAGCTTCGTGCACCCAAGCGCGGCCGTTCCTGGGGTGGGAGGAGGTGGCCAAGCAGACAAATGAGTTGTTTCTGGGGAAGGAAGAGATCTTTTAACCAGCAACACCCGCCCAAAGCTGTCTGCTCTCTAAATATGCCTTCTGATTTTTAATGTCCATGGGAAAAAAAAAGAAAAAAAAAAAAGAGAGAGAGAAGGAGAGAAAATGGAAAGAGCTGGATGAATAAGGGCCTTTTCAGAGCAAGGAGTTCTGCAGGGATGTCCTGCAAGGCTCAAGGCATCTCAGATAACATCCAGACAGAGGATGGAATAAAGAGCAGGACCTGGAAGATCTCAAGGAGGATCAGCTGTAACCTGGAAAGCCATGGGTGGGTTCTGAGGACATGGTAAGGGGTCTCTGGACCTCCTGACCCATGGCCTCTTCCCCTGAGCCAGCACAGTGCCCTGAGCCTGGCCCATGGTCCAGCACATCAGGCACATCCCCAGAGGTGGGGAGAGACCAGCAGGAGACAGCTCAGGATGCTCAGGGGGCCGAGGGGCCTCACACAGAGGCTGAGGTCCCTCGAGGTCTCTGTCCACGGGAGGACAGAGGAGGAGGGTGGACTGCAGCAGTTTAGGGAGAGACAATCCTGTTTTGGTGTAGAAACAGCCAAACCAACCTCTCCAGGTCCTTCCAGCCCAGAGTCCTGTTAATGAAAGGTGTGTTTTCCTCAGGAACCCTGGATGCCCCAGACAAGGTCTCTGCCCTCCCGTTTCTGGTGGGACAGATTCACCTCTGGTCTGTGTGTGGTGGCACCCAGGGCACTCCCCTCCCCAGGGCGGGATCCCCAAGAAACCTTTCCAGGCTCTCTGGTGGAGGTGCTTCTTCCCTAAAAAAGCTGTCACAAGCCGTGGACAAGCTCGGTCTCCTCTCTCTGCCAGGCGAATGTTTGAGCTACAGCTGCTCATTTTACAGGTTCCATTAAACACCGGCAGAGTTTGCGGCCCCATCCCTCCCTGAGCTCCGCCTGGCAGGGGATGGAGCTCGCCCATGCCGATGGTTCCCGGGCGGGGAGCGCTCCCCGAGCTCCGGTGTGGCCGTGCTCTGGCACACAGTGCCACCTCGTGTCTCCCGGAGCCCCGACAGCCAAAGCACGGCCTGTGCCGGGCTCTGGGCAGGATCTGCCTCCATCCGCGGCAGCGCTGACGCAATTTCGCTCCATAAAAGCGACTTGGGAACGGGAGGGGGCTGGGCTGGGGACAGCGGTGGGGATTGTCAGCCTTTGGAATGAGCGAGAGCGGTTCGGGAGGTGGTGCTGTGACTCGGTTTCCCTGACTTTAAGCACCAGGATGTCCTTTTCCTTTCCGAGGTGCTCAGGGAATCGCAGCAGATGTTGCTGTAGCGGCTCCACCTCGTGTCCGAACCCACCTCGTGCTCAAAGCCTGGTCCAGAGTTGTTTTGAGATGGGACACCCAAAACCCACCCCCACATCCGACAGCATCATCCTTCACCTCCCACCAGGCTCCAAAACCTCTCTCACTGTCACAGGAAGTTCAATATTTATGGAGTTTTTAAAATAGAATGTATTTGGCTTAAGTTCCACATTTGGGCCCGTTTCTGCATTGCTTTTGCAGCCCCCAAGGGCCAGAATTGCCTTTTTCTGTTTGTTTCTCTCACCTGTTTTCAGGAAGCCCGTGGCACTGGGATTTTCCGGCCCCTGCAGACCCTCTCTCACCCCTGGGAGCACAGGATGGGCTGAGTTAGGCTGGCTCAGCACAAATCGAGCACTTGGCATTGCCCTGAGCTGGGATCTCCATCCCTCCTCCCACAGAGCTGGGCTGTGTTGGGGACAGAACTGCCCTACGTGTCCCATTGTCCTGGTCATCACTCCTGAGGGATGTTTACCCCCAGAGCTGGGTCCTGGGTGTCCTCTGGGACACAAATAACCCTGGGCCCCCTCCTGTCCCCTCCCTGGGCAGTGCTGCTCCTCCAGCTGTGTCAGACACTTGTCCCAGTCCTGCACCAGCATCTCCAGTGCCCAAAAGGCCTTCCCTGCCTCCCCACAGCTGTCCCTGTGTGGGGACAGGTTGAGCTCATGGCCATGGCAGCGGCCCCAGGGCATCCCCAGGGCGGGGGTCTCATCTGGATCCATCTCTCCCGATTTCTTCACTCCTCCCTCCTGAAACAGCCCTGGAGAAGCCAAAGAAGCTACCAGAGATGGAAGAGGCAGCCCCACTGCCCAGCTAATCTAAGTTAATTCCCAGCATCTGGGACTGCTGGAAACCCTTTTCTTTCTCCAGGAAGGGTCTCCAGACTCCCAGCACTCAGGAAAAGCCACCAGCAGTGTTAGGAGGGCACTGTGCAGAGGAGCAGACGCTGCACCGGTCCCTGTGCCCTGGCAAGCCAAGTGTACTGGTTAAACTGGCCCAGGGTGGAGAACAACCTCCACACGCTCCTCAAGCAGCTGCAGTTCCCTCTGAGCAAGGCCCTTGCAGAGGCTGATGCTGGTGGAGGAAGGGATGAGGGGAGACAGAAGGACAGGGAAGGACAGACCTCAGCACCCGCGGGCATTTTGCTTTCTGTCTCTGCCACCCTAAACCTCAGAGAAACCCCAAAGCCCACCCAAGAAAGGAAACAGAGGCACAGAGGAGACTCGGTGAGGAGAGGTTTGGTAAGAAGAGACTTTTAATCAGACTCCGATACAGCTCTTACAGGGTTTCTCTCGATGGCCGAGGAGCCCGGCGGCGCAGCCCGGCCCGCCCGGCGCACGGGGAGCTACTGCGGCTACGAGGGGACACGGACGCGTCACTACGAGCTCTGTGCTTTACCTGTACAGGAGGGTTTCGCCAGTGTTGTGCTTGTCCCAGGGGAAGCAGCCGCATCCTGCGTGCTCCCGTGGCTGTGCCATGTCCCTCCCGGCCACCAAGGCCACCCGGCCCCGCTCCTGCCAGCGAGACCCACGCTCGGGAAGGGTTGGGGCCATTAGAAGGCAGTGGGAGTTGCTTCTGGGGGGTGCTGGGGCTTAATGTGACCTGTCAGGGTCTGGGCAGGAGCTGAGAGGTGAGGAAGGGGCTGTTTTGGAGGGAATGAGGGGAAGGAGCCGTGGGACACCCTGGGCTCCCAGCTCCAGCCATCCCCTCTGCCTCGCACCGGGGTCGAGGTCCCTGCAGCAGAGGCCGATGTGGGACAGAGCTCACAACTGCAGCCCTACAGGCTGGACCTGCAGCTCCAGCACCGCAGGGCGTTCCTCTCTAGAAACTTCCTTTTTCCCTGTTCAGACCCACTGAGCACCCTCCCCCTAGAGAGGGAACAGGGTTTGGACCCCTCCTGACCTCCCCAGCGCCTCCTCGTCCCCCAGCCGGGGACACCACACTGCTCTGAGCAGCAGGGTCAGGGCTGGGAACCCCTCAGGGAGCTGATGTGGGGGGACAGGGATATCGGCAGTGGTTCCCCCCTCTTTGTCCCACTGCCTGAAGGAAAATGGAAAAGTGCCTGTGCTCACAACTAGCAGCTATTCCCTGTGCCTCTGTGCAGAAAAAGAGGAGAAGTGATTTCTAGGGCTAAAAGCCACTGGGGGTCGGCCCTTTCCACAGCCTGGGACCCCAAGAAGGTGTGTGGAGGGAGAACCTGCCCCGGCGAGCGGGAGAAACCCCCACGCAGGCTCCAAAAGTGAGCGAGTACAGCCAGAAGTGAATCCTAAAGCCACCCACGCACACGGACACGCGCACACCCCACACACGGCATCTACGGACGAACACGCGCACGCTCCCACGGCGACAACACGGAGCTCCTAAAACCTAACACACACACACTCCCCCCCAACACCCCGTGTCTAACACCGAGCAAATGCCACGACAAAATACAGTATTTCCACGGATAAAAGTAAAGGTGTCGTCCCTCTTCCTCCTCCTCCTCCTCCTCCTCCTCCTCCTCTCTGCTGGATCCCCAGGGCAGCTGGACACCCTGGGGCTGGGGGGAGAAGGGGACGTGCACCCACCACGCACAAGAAATAAAAAGGTAAAAATACGCCCTGCTATAGAATGAGAATTGATCTGTACAGCACTGGGAATGAAAATAGGTCATGGGCCACTTTGGAATACGATTTGTCATTTAACAGCATTTACAGTGACATTTACAGAATAAATATACAATAGAAATAGAGAATCTCTAGGTTATTATTCCATCTCCTCTCTCTGTATGTATTTTATATATATATCTATATATATATAATATAGCTTCTTTGTTTCCTTCTTATTGACTTGGCCTCCTATTGATGCTGCAAGAGGAGAGGAAAGCGAGCCCCTCCCCGGCTGGTTTGGGAACGGGGGTGGGAGAGATGGAGGGCCGGATCCTTCACCCCGGGGTTCAAGGAGCATCATGCCATGGGAGCACTCGGGACTGAGCCATGGGAGGTGTCCTGCTCCATTAACTCCATGGGAGCTACGGTGGGAATCCGGCCCCCAGGCTTGGGGGAGCCGGGGAGGTGATGCTGGGCAAGGATTTGACTGATCCTCTGTTCTGCTGGTCAGGTGAGGATGGACCCCATTGGAAATGTTGCCTAATGATGGGGAAATGGATTTGGGCTTCTCCCTTCCAGAGATGATGCCATAGGGACGTTTCTGTGTCCCTCTTGCATGGCAAAGGAAGGGGAAAGACTTGGGAGCGATGAGGAAGGGGGAACTTCTGGAGGAGAGTGGTGGCTGACCCTGACTCACAGATCTGGTGCCTCTTGGAACCATCACCGAGCTGCTTTGGTTCAGTCCTCTCCTCCATCTTCCCCCCAGAAAAACAGTTAACGAAGGGCTTGAGCTAATTATCCAGGAAGAGTGTCCACCTCACCAGCCAAGTCCATGGAGAAGACTGTGAATAAAGAATCACACTCACAAGAGATGTCACTGTGGGAACCTCCTGGCCCCAGGGATGCTGAGAGCCAGGAATGCTGAAAGTCAGGGGTGTGGTGAATGGACCAGCTGCTTTCTGCCTTCACCTCCAGCCAAAAGGAGAGCCAAGGCAAGAGAAAAGCCATTGACAGGAAAGCGGAGGAGAGAAGGGCTCATGAACCAGCACCCACAAACGTGGCCTTCAGAGCGTCCTGAAAGATCTTCATGCACAGCCCAAGCCCAGCAGGACCCAGGATGAGGCACTCCCCAGACTTTGGAGGCAACAGAGTGTGCAAGGAGGCTGCTGCTTCCATGTCCCCAAGGAAAAGGGGGATGATGCCAGGTTATCCTGATACCCTCAGCAGAATTGCTTGGTTACACGTAGGATTCAGGGAAATTTTCCCCAAGGAAAAGGGGGATGATGCCAGGTTATCCCGATACCCTCGGCAGAAGTGCTTGGTTACACGTAGGATTCAGGGAAATTACCCCAGTCCCAGCAGGAGAGACTCAGAGCTAGAAAATCCCACCCTTTCCTAAACAGCCTGGGGAGAAACAACATAAGGTCACGTCAGTCTGATCCCCCAAAAACATGGATGGGCACAGTAGAGGCCCCTGGATTTTCACAGGGGCTCCCCAACCTGGATCAAGAGCTAGTGGGGACCTGGCACCGGCTCCCAAGAGCTGCTGCTCCTTGGGTGCCTGCGGTCCCCAAGAGCTGGGCACCCCCATCCAAAGCCTGGTGAGCTCCTGTGGGTGTGACAGGAGGCAATGCCAAACCCCTGGCTCGGAGGGGACACGAGGAGAAGTGAGGAGGCACATCCAGAGGGAACCACTGCCCAGCTCACCTTGGCAGAGGGACAAGGGAGGGAAGTCAGGGGGTGATTTCCTGAGAGCTGAACCAGGAGTGTGGTAGGACTGGATGTCCCACAGCTCCTCTGCTTGTCTCTGTGGGACATCAAAAGAGAGCAGTGAGAAGAGATGATCACCACGCCAGGGATTTTGGTTTGGCAGAGCATCCCACACATCAGGAGTAGTTCCAGGAGAGCTCTCCTGACTCCCATCACACCAACCCCATCCAGACCCCAACACAGGCTCACACACCCAAACCACTGTCACTTCAGGGGTCCTCCTGCCACTCAGCACCACCACCACCACCCCATGGAGCATCCCAGCCACTCCATCCTTTGGCTGTGACATCTCTGTGCCTCCAAACAACTCCCGGCCACTGTCCCTGTGCTGGTGGCAACAAAGATTCCAGGGATGCACCATGCATCTCACACCCCAGCATCTCAGCCAGCCCCATGCTGCTCCCTGCAAACCCTGGTCAGAATTTGGGGGTATTTGGGTGTGTCCACAGCTATAAAAACCTACAGGAGATACAACAACAACAACGATGGTGACAACAACAGCACCTTTTTGTGCTATGAACATCGATGATTAATTGTGCTCGTTGGAATAAGGCCTTGACTCCTCCCGGCTAAAGGACAACAGACAGGGAGGGAAGAGTGCTGGGTGACAGGAGGAAGTATGATTGGCTTCCCACCTGCCGCCAGGTCCTTGTTCCAACCATCAGCTGCTTAGAAAAGAGAGATTCTTTGCTTCAGATCTGAGCTGTGTGAGAACAACTCTTGGAAAGATATTGCAGCGTTTCTTACTCCTCCTCCCTTCCCCGGAGATGAGTCCAGGGGTCCTGCCTTTCCACCGAGGGTTGTCAGAGGAGTCCTGCCCCTCCTGCAATCCCTTCTTCCCAATGTCATCGTAGAAATGGCTGCTTTGCTTACATTTTTAAGAGGGGTTTCTTCTTCATCTTCCTTAGTAATTAATTTTCCTGTTGCCTGGACAGGATCCACTCCCCAGTGCCCTCCTCTCCCGATGGGGGTGGTGGGCAGGCAGCCATCACAGTTCGGATTCGGGGGTGCTGGCCAGGAGGTAGCCGCTCCCGTATCGTCCGTTGGGAGCGCTGCTCATTTCCATGGGGGAGTTGCTCCCGGGGCCCAGGTAGGAGCGGTGCGTGGGCATGGGGGACGGCGTCTCGCTGGGCACTTTGCTCAGGATGAAGCGGGTCTCATCGTTGTCTTCCAAGTTGGAGATGTCCTTCATCATCCGACCCTTCTTGTAGGTGACAGAGAGGGCGTTGGAGCCGTCCGACACGAGGTGGAACTGCCGGAGGATGAAGACCAGAGGCAGAGGGAGGGATGCCAGGAGGATCAGGGAGATGAGGATCGCCATGGCCCAGGTTGGGTAGAACAGGAACTTTTCGGCAGCCTGGAAGAGACAGAAATTAACGTCACGGGGCTGTTGCAGCAGCGGTGATGCTTGTAGACATGAATTTCTGAACCTGAGAGAATTTCAAGCTCTCAGGGGCTGATTGTTCCCAAGAGAAAGTCTTTGGGAACTTTTTTCTTCTCTCAAAGACTGTGAAAATAAGGTTTGGTTCCCAAAACATGACACAGATGTTCTGAGAGTGTTTCCTCTCTTGTCCCACCAATGGGATGAGGGAAGTGTTGTTCCTTCTACCAATCAGGATAATCTGCAATCAGAACACCTTATAAAAGAGTTAAAAAACCCCAAAATAAAGGCTTTTCTGCCTCATGAAAAAACCTCTGTTGTGGTTCTCAGAACCTTCTCTCTATACTTCATGTCCTCTAGTGACAGATGCCCACCACGTAGCACATCTCCAACGTGCCAGACAGCTCCTGCTGCCCTACTGCCAGACTCAGGGACACCACACCAAGGTGGGCTCAGGTTGAGGGAAAGGATCCTCACACAGGATGCTGGGCACAGAGTGGAGTTGTGGGACCCAACCAAAATCAACACAAACTTCAGAGCTAGCTGGAGATACCTGGGCAGCGTGAACAAACCTGACTGCTCGCAGGGGATGAGCAGGGCAGGAATGTCACCCAGCAGGAGAGGAAGGAGGAATGAGCAGAGCTGGGATGAACAGAGTGCTCTGCAGCTCTGAGCTGCCCCTGCTGTGCTGGGGAAGGGCAGGGAGCTGCGCTCACCTCCTCTCTGATCCATGCGCTGTATCCCGGGGGGCTGACTCCCAGCTGGATGATGCTGGCGGTCATGAGCACGGCCATGCAGATGGGAGACACGTACTTCCAGGTGTAGTAGTAGAACTGGTAGGGCCGGAAACCCAGCATTTCCGTCAGCTCCTGCATGAACCTGCCCAGGAAAGACATGGAACTGTGATATCCCCACCTTTCAGAGAGAAACAACCTCCCAGGAGCACCATGGATGCCCAAGGTAGAACCTGAAGAAGAACCCAGCTGACCATCTCAGCATCCCTCAAGCCTGAAGAACTCATGGAAAACTCCTCAGGACAAGATCATCAGAGTGCTATCCAGAGCTGCCATTGCTCTGGACAACTTCTGAACAAAGAGCACTTGTGGGGAACAGCCTCCCCTTCCAGAAGGACCTGGAAACCTCAGGAAAAAGGGTCATTGCAAGAAACTGAGCATCACAACCAACAGGAGATACCCAGGAGAAGGACCTGCCCCTGGGGCTGCATTACACCAGGGCAGGAGGATCAAAGTGAACTGAATTCCTGCCTCTGCAACTGCCCTTGGAATATTTTCTGGAGCAAAAACCATATGGAAAAGAGATGGAAGGAGGGTTTTCAGTCAGGAATTACAGCACAGTTATTCTTTTTACTGTAGAAGTTCCTTACTTCTTGGTGCCATAAATCCAGGCCACAGCGATGTTCTCCAGGATGACCACGACGGTGAGCGGCAGCGTGGCTGAGTAATCGTCAAACATGGTGACAAAGTAGTTTCCAGAACGCTGCACAAAGATCAGCCCCACTACGAAGGCAAAGATGCAGCAACCAACTGTGGGGAGCAAACAGGCCTGGTCAGCAGAGCCCCCCGAGGGACACCAACACTTCCACAATGTTCACTCCCTGCACCAGCATGGTCAGCAGAGCCTATTGAGGGACACCAAGATCTCCACAAGGTCCAGTCCCTGCATGAGCATGGTCAGCAGAGATCCCTGAGGGACACCAAGACCTCCACAATGTTCACTCCCTGCACCAGCATGGTCAGCAGAGGTCCCTGAGGGACACCAAGATCTCCACAAGGTCCATTCCCTGCATGAGCACGGCCCAGTTCACCCCCCACTATGTCCACACTCTTCTGGAGTGACTCCTCAAGGCAGTGGGGACCCCCCCACCCCTTCCCAAGGAGGTTGCAGGAGAAGAGACCTCACCTGTGAACACTTCCTTCCGCACCTTGAAGGTGTCGATGATGGGCGTGGTGATGCCTGACATGGTCCCGATCATGCTCCCCAAGCCCAGGTTGATCAGCATCAAGAAGAACATGACGGACCAGAAGGGTGAGGCGGGGAAGTGGGTCATGGCTTCTGTGAAGGCAATGAAGGCCAGGCCAGTCCCTTGCACTGACTGTTGAGGTGGAGAGAGGACAAAAAGATGAGAAGAAACTTGTCAGGGACACAGACTTCGAGCCTGATGTCTCAGGTCTCCCTCACCAAACCCTCTTCAAGGAAAGAAAATCCCAGTCCAGTCCATTCCAGTCTGGTACTGGAGATGAACTGGTAGATGGAGATGAACCCTGCTACTGGACAAAGCTTCTCCCACCCCAGGAGGACCCTTGTGTGCTGGGTAAAACTGCAGGGATTTGGATTCCCCATCCCTGGAGGGTCACTTAAAGTTGTTTTTCCAGATCCATGTGCCCAGGATTGACACGGGGAGAGGCAATGGGGCAGGTGACCTGCTGCTCCTGCCAGGAGTGCCACCAGGTACCTTGTTGAGCTCATCCTCCAACAGGCAGGCATCCAGGCCCAGCTCTTTGAAGTGTCCCTCCTTCACCGTCATGATCACCCTGTACATCTCGTTGTAGTCCTTGGCAGTGAGGTGGGAGAAGTTCACGTGCGGTGGGATGAGGTCATGGCTCAGCACATTGGTGTTCAGGTAGCCCAAGATCTTCTCAGCATTCCTAAGGGAGAGCAGAGCCTCTCAGGAGATGCAGGGCACCTGAGACACACTGGATTCATGCTCAATCTGCAGATTAAGAGCCTGCCTTGGGGCTGGATTTTAGGTGGGAGGAACCAACCTACCCAAGTCCCTCAGCTACAGTGGTACAACTCTGGAAATCCAGGTCTTGACCATCAGGAGCTTGGGTTCACCAAACCCCAGGATCATCCAGCCCCAGAGCACTTTTCTGCCTCCAGACCCACCACAAGTGGCAGCAGCAAAGACCTACCCACCCAAAACAGACAGAAAGCAAATCTTACTCCACCACGCATTTCTCGTTCATGATGTTGGCCTTGAAGCCCAGCACAGCAAACACCACCAGGGTGGCCAGCACAGACGTGAAGAAGTTGATGAAGGAGACAAGGGTGGCATCGAAGTGGCAGTTGTTGTCCTGCTTGTTGTAGCTGGAGAAGGCAATGACCCCCCCAAAACCCAGGCCCAAGGCGAAGAAAACCTGTGTGGCAGCTTCACGCCACACCTGGGGGTCCAGCATCTTGTCCAGCTTGGGAGGAAGACAGAAGAAGAAGGTAGGTGACCTGGTGACCCCACAAGCCATCCCAGAGCTGCAATAGAAGGGCTGAGCTGCTTTTGGAGCAGCTGTGGGCTGCTTTGGTGTGGTGGTGGAAGGAAATGATCTCCAGGGCCTCTTCCAACCCAAACCGTTCTGTAATTCCATGATCTGCCATGGTCAGGTCTGGCTTTACAGGTCCTTCTCATTCATGCAGAGGGGGAAACTGAGGCATGAAGAGGTCAGGACAAGGTTTAACCTGACCACATCTCTCTGCTCCACCCTAGCTGGGGGTTCCATCTCGCTTCTGTGCAGCTTCCCAGGCTATGTCCCCCAGCCCAGGGAGCCACCAGACGCTCAGTGATGGTCTCCATGCTCCCCTGGCCATCTCCTTCCAGAGCACCTGGAGCACTGAAGTCAAACATCCTGCCTGGGGGGTTGTTTTAACCCCTGATCCCCCCCAAGCCTCATTCCCCCTCTCCTGGGAGCCAGAGCTGCAGCCTGGAGGCCTCCCAGCATCATTCATCAAGGGACCATAATTAATGTCTTCTAACAGCCTCGCTGGCTGAGCCGATTCATCTACATCTCTGCCTAATTATTTAATTAGCTGGTTAATTAATAAGTGCATAGCACCAGTAGAGGTTTTGCTGCCAGCCAGCATTTCTGCATTAAATCTTTATATTTCTATATTCCCTTGGGCACCTCTGTGCCCCCCACCCTGGCATCTGGGTAGCTGAGGATGGTGGGTTTGTGAGGCTTGTGGCTGTCCTGGCCACACCCTGAATTTTGGGATCCACTCCACCTCCTGATGGTCTATCAGGATCCCCAAGCTTGGGGCTGGCACTCTGAATTTTGGGGTGGGGAGGACAATGAAGGGATAATAAGAGAATAAGGGAAAATAGGGCATGAGCAGCCAGAGGAAGGGAAACCTGCTTGGAGTCTGCTGGGCTTGGAACTCTCACCTTGGGTGTGAACATGTGCATGATCCCATCCACTGCCCCACGCAGCAGAAGCCCCCGCACCAAGAAGCAAACGAGCACCAGGTATGGGAAGAGGGAGCTGAAGTACATCACCTGGAGCAAGAGGGATGAACACAGCCTCAATCCCTGTCCCCTGGGCCCAGCCACCCTCCCACCCAACCTACAGACAGCTCACAGCGGGGACAAGGGAGCATTTCCCTCCACAGGGTGGGGTTGGCTCCTCAGGGCTTACTGTGGGACCCCTTGGAGCGGGATGGCACAGGTGGCTGGACAGTGGCCAGGCCAAAAGGGGCCTGGGGGCATGATGGACAGCAGGCTGGACACGAGCCAGCAGTGTGCTCAGGTGGCCGCTGGCACCTGGCCAGGATCAGGAATGGTGTGGCCAGCAGGAGCAGGGCAGGGATTCTTCCCCTGTGCTCGGCACTGGTGAGGCCACACCTCGAGTGCTGAGTCCAGTCCTGGGCTCCCCAACTCGGGAAAGATGTTGAGGTACTGGGGCGTGTCCAGAGAAGGGCAGCAAGGCTGGGGAAGGCTCTGGAGCACAAGTCCTGGGAAGAGTGGCTGAGGGAGCTGGGGGTGCTCAGCCTGCAGAAGAGGAGGCCCAGGGGGGACCTCATCGCTCTCTACAGCTCCCTGACAGGAGGGACAGAACAAGAGGAAACAGCCTTAAGCAGCCCCAGGGGAGGTTTAGGCTGGACATTAAGAATTTCTTCACAGAATGAGTGACTGGGCATTGGAATGGGCTGTCCAGGGAGGTGGGTGAGTCACCATCCCAGGAGGTGCTTGAGGAAAGCCTGGGTGTGGTGCTCAGTGCCATGGTCTGGGTGACGGGTTGGTGTTGGGTCACAGGTTGGACTCCATGACCTCAAAGGTGTTTCCCAACCTTTCATTCTGCAAATCTGTGAAGTGCTGGAGCTCAGGGGGATTCTCTGTGCTGGTGTGGCTGAGCCCTGGCTGCACGTGCCAATTGAACTGAACCTCTTCCCTCCACCCTCTTTTGTTCTTATTCTGGATCCCTCCAGAGGTGACCCCAACTGTGGAGAGGGTGTGAGCATCCCAGGGGACACAGCATTCCACTGGCACCCCAGAGCACGCCAGGGGAGTGTGGTCCAGGCAGGTTCCTGCTTCCAGGACAGAGCCCAGCCAGGCTCATGTGTCCACCAATACCCACCTTCCCTGAGGACTGGATGCCTTTGATCATGGCCAAGCCAACAAGGCTCCAGGCCACCAGCAGACACAGGGTCATCTTCCAGTTAAGCCCCCCACTCTCAGAGATGGAGTTGGAGATGTCCAGGGTCTCCCGGTACCAGAAGTAGGTGGTGGCTGAGCTCCTCTCGCATTCAGTCTCCACAACTGCAACAGAGCAGAGGCAGGAGAGCATCAGCAGGAGCGTCATCCACTGTCTCCTGGGCTGATCAGATGTCAAAGACCCACGGGAGCCAGCCAGGGACAGGAGACAGCCCTGGAAACTGAGGGGCAGAAATTAATGGGGCTCATTCTTAGCAGGGAAGGACATCAAACCACTGCCAGGTGAAAATGAGATGTTAAATATGGGGAAAGACAGTTTCATCTGCCATAAAACCTCAGAGGGTCTCATGTTGATGCTCAGATGTTACTAAACACCATGAGCTCCATCTGTGTCTCAGTCGGGCAGTGGAGCAGCCCCTGCCTGATGCTCGCTGCCTCCCTCCCTGGTCCTGGGTCAGATCCTGGCCTTGAGCACCGAGGCAGCCTGAAAATCCCATCAGGGGGACTCTGGACTCCCAAACTGGCATCAAATCCCATCAGGGGGACTCTGGACTCCCAAACTGGCATCAAATCCCATCAGGGGGACTCTGGATTCCCAAACTGGCATCAAATCCCATCAGGGGGACTCTGGATTCCCAAACTGGCATCAAATCCCATCAGGGGGGAGAGAGCACTGGAGACACTCATCCAGCCCAAGGGGAAGCTCTCCATTCAGCCAGAGCAGCTGGGCCAGAGAGGATCCAGTGCTCCAGGAGACACCTGTACCTCCTGTGGCCCCACTTCTGTTGGGGGTGATCAAGTGTCCCACAGTGTCCCACAGTGTCCCACAGTCCCCCTTCCCTGGGAAGTGCTCCCTCCCAGCCGAGCTCCTCACCGGCCACCGAGCCGTTCTTCACGATGGGGCACTCGCTCCAGGGCAGGGGGTACTGGAAGGACTTGAAGAAGTAAAAGATGCTCCAGCCGATGATGACGTTGTAATAGAGACCAACAAAAAAACAGACCTGGGGGGGAGGAAGGAGGAAGACATCAAACCACAGGGCAGTGACACCGTCCCCAGGGCACCTCCTGCTGCGTAGGGAGCGGAGGGAAGCGGGGCTGCTGGGATCAGGGGATGGCCACATCCCCAAACCAGCCCTAGAGCCATGAGTGGAGCTGCAAAAACTTCACTTAACCTCCCCAACCTCCCCACGGGGCTCCTCGAGGGTGGCCTCAGCCCACACACCCCGAGGTGGGGCTGGAGGGTCCCCGGGGGGCACTCACGAGGCAGCTGGCGTAGCCGATGCCTCCCAGGCGGGGACAGATGTAATTCCAGACGCCGATGCTGCCCCGGCGGATCCGCTGCCCCACTGCCAGCTCCAGGAAGAACAGGGGCAGCCCGATGATGATGAGCAGGACCAGGTAAGGGACCAGGTAGGCACCTGGAAGGGGAGAGAAAGGTCATTCTAGATCTCCCTGCTCCAGGGCAGCCACGGACAGATGGACATGGGTGGACAAGCAGGGCAGAGCTGGGATGGGCTCCATCGGTCCATTTGCAAACAGCCTCAAGTTCTACCAGAGGAGGCTGAGGTTGGATATTAGGACAAATTTATTCATGGAGAAGATGGTCAGGCAGTGGCACAGGCTGTCCAGGGATGTCCCCATCTGTGTGGGTGTGCCACTTGAGGACATGTGCTAGTGGTGGCCTTGTGCTGGGTTAATGGTTGGACTCAATGATCTTAGAGGGTTTTTCCAGCCTAAATGTTTCCCTGATTTTGTGATCCAGGAATGCAGAGAGGAGCTGCAGAGAGGAGCAAACGTGTGTGGAAGGAAACGTGCAGCATCCCCTGCCAGTGTGGATGGTGTGGGATAGACCCCAGGGCCCCCAAGGACTCCCCAGATCCACACAGACAAATGTTCCTGTGCAAGGAGCCCCCTCCACAAGCTGAGCCCGGGGGACACCGGCACATTCCCGGCCATCTCGGACACACAGGAGCCATCCTGCTCCCCCAGGCACGGCCAAACTCCCTGTCCCAGCACATCCCCCTGCACATCCCACACTCCCAGCAGCAGCACCGTGCCGTGTGCCACCCCACACAGCCTGAGGAGGAGAAATAACTCAGATTAAAATCTCGGTTAATGTGTGTCTGACGGCTGAGGCTGGAGAGGAGCCGGTGGTTCCCGAAGCAGAACCGATGACCGTAAAGGATGCAATGACTCACGCTGCAGCGGAGGAATGACTCCAGCTCCTGCCAGGAGCTCAGGAATGGGCTCAGAAGAATGTGCCTGGCTCCTGCAGGGTAGCAGACGGTCCAAAGACAACCGAAATTCCCGCCTGGATTGACACCCCAGTGACAGCCACCACTCCCCAGGCCCAGGCAGCACCTGGGGCAGGGGCTGCTGCTCCAAGCAGGAACTCTGCAAAGCAGATCAGCCCTGGCATGGCTGGGGATGGTGTGTTAAAAATGTGGGTACGGAGAGAAATTGAGGTGCAGCAGCCCGGGGTGATTGGGAGGGTAAAAGGAGAGGCAGAGAGCAGAGCTGCAGCTCAGGGAAATTCAGGAAGGAACACGAGCATCCCATCTCTGCAACACTCTCCTGGGTATCTCAACCTACAGATAGGTGGAGATGAGACAGATTGACAGATTCAGATGCAAATTTGTCCAGTACTGGAGATTTTTTCCCTGTGGTGCCTGGAAAGCTCACGCCTGTGCAGCACCAGGGCAGCCAGCACTGGATCCCAGCACTCCGAGTCCTGGGAATTTGGCTCCAGCCCATCCTGCTGCCAGCACGCAGCCTCTCACCCCCGCAGACACCTGCTCAGGGAGCAGGAGAGAAAGCAGCCGCCCCCACAGCATCCTGGAGCTGCTCAGAGCGACCAGGAAGGGTCTGTCCATCCCTCCTGAGCCTCGGCCTGCTGGGAATGCCAGCCAAGAGCATTAGACAGGGCAGGAGGAGAAGGCAGAGAATTGGTGCCTGCCCCATGGGACAGACAGGTGATGCCACTCAGGCAAAAGAAAAAACCTCTGCAAATTCCAGCAATCTGCTGCTCACGCCAGTTCCCAGCTCCGTGCCTCAGTTTCCCCATCCATGGAACAGTGGAAATGGCTGGGGCAGCTTGGAAAGCCTTTAATTTTCAGTCCTGCTGCAGAAAGATGTTCTGTCTCAGCAAGGAGCTCCTAAAAGCAGCTGCTGGTGCCAGTCCCTGCCTGGCTCGGTGCCCACCACAGGACAGGTCAGACCCGTGTCCATCTCCTCTGCTGCAGCAGTGTTGGGGCTGTTCCCATCCAGTCTGGCATCCAAAACCAGTTCTTTAACGCTCCCCACATACAGACTGCCAGTTCAGCCCCGGATTTTAGGAATACACCAGGAGCAATCCCAGCCTGGGGACACCAGTTGTACCTCCTGTGGCCCAGCAGCTGCACAGCTGAGGCCAAAGCCCCAGAGATACCCAGGAGAGCAGAGAGCTCTGTGTAAGCTGAGGGTTGTTCGTTTATTCACTAATTACGGTTACTTAAGGATTGCTATGGCCATGGGGAAACTGAGGCACAGCTGGGTTAATCCTTGTAGAGAAGGATACTGGTTCTCCAACCTCTGGGCCTGAGCCGGTTCTAAATCTCATTTAATGGGGAAAACTTTCTTGCCAACCAGAGGCCAGATGTGGAGAGCTGTGTAATGAAACCGGCGGGGCTGTACCGACCTCTCCTAGACCTGAATTTGGGGTGAACACACCGGGCAGAGCTGGGCTGTGCCAAAACCGAGCCGAGCCAAACCAGGGGGAGGGGAGGGGAGGGGAGGGGAGG